CGGATCAGGACGGTTTTGATATTGTAAAATACATATAATTGGTGTAAAAACACTGGGCTTTTTTTCAGTTTTGCATTCCTTTCCGGCTCGTAAACTCTCGGTATCAAAAAACCCCATGACCAAATCCTGACATTTAGAAGAGGAAAAAATTTTACACAGAATATTGCCTCTGTAAAAATTTAAAGACACTTTTTATATTTGTCCAAAATCTTGTCTTTATCATATCTATCAAATCTGTTAGCAGAATCAAATTATTTAATATACATTCAAAGGAACAGGATACAGGAAATGACGACTCTAATAGACTACTTTGAATTCTGTTAGGGGTTAGGAAGATATTGAGAGAAGGGTTTTAAGCACGGTAATTTAACGGCTGACATAAGTGTAAAAGCTTAGCCTCAGTAATTTGCTGGTTGGACATGTTCTAGAAGTAGCCAAATTTTTTGGATGTGAAATATTAAATTACCTTCACAAGGAAATGATTTTCTGATGGCGGCGGACCAAATATATTTCAATTGCGTTTACTTCATTTTAATATTTTAGTGTTAAAGAATATTCTGTTAAAGGTTCTTTGTCCTCTGAGAAAGGGTGGTGAGACAGAAGGAAAAAAAATAAAGTTTTTATCGGGATTTTTTGCTTCAGATTGCGGAAATCAAGAAGCCGCAACACCAACAATAAATGAAAGTTGATAGAATCGTTCCTTTTTAAAATAAACTTCAAAACTGTTTTACGCGCATCTTTTCAGACTGTGATAAGAAAAAGAAGATCGGTTCGGTTGAGGGTTTCGTACGCAAAAGGACAATTAAAGTATTTACTGTACATTTAACGCTGTCCAACTACAGTTTATCTGCGACTATTTTGAGTATTGCTATCGACAGTTCCAATATTAATTGTTCATTACTCAAAGGCATTCATGTATTACTGCGTGCTGATGAATACTACTTATGTTATTCATTACAGTCGAATTTGTCATTAGGCTGGAGAAGTGAAGGTCATCGTTCAAAGTGTTAAACAGAGGTTTTTGTATCAGGCAAAGCTCAATCTGATTTTATGGGCTCATTTTACCTTCGTAGGAAAAACATGGCCATTCAGTGGCGGCCTTCTTAAAAAGGGTAACTTTAGCGACGTATATTGGAAGTTTGTATTGCACTATATCTCCTCCTCTCCACTGGCTGTAAAGACAAGAACTTTTTAAAGAAAATACTTCTTTACCTAAAGCAGTAACCCGTATAGGTGCTCAGGGTCGAAGAGGACAGAGTTGTTGGGTGGAGGAACTGAAGCTGGTTTCGCTAAAGAGTGTCATTTCGTCTTCCGCAACTTTTGGAACAAAACACTGAAAGGTAGAGCAATTAATGAAATGACTACGCATAAATATTTGGTTACTCTTTACCAGTCACTTAAAAAATACTTTTAGGAAACCGCAGCACTTTTAAGTTCTTAACGTTACTTCGCAATCAAACACTTGAGTCGTACATTTCAGCACTGAAAACTTCTAAACCTGTACATGCGCTACGTTATCTTTTAACTTGTTCAGTACAGGTTAGGAGAAGATTTGACTAAACAAGCTCTTGAAAGTGAGCAACAATTGTGAACTGCCCCTAAACTTTTTCTGAAACAATGAAATTCGCACTGTTCTACTCTCACTTCCTTCAATGAGGAGTCCAAGTAGATGATTAGAAGTGGGATGGTTTCCTGCCGCAAAAGAGTCAAGCAGGGAGAAGAATGCCGCATCCGCTGAGGGAAGTCTGAACGACGCGCGTAAGAGAGAGGTCAAGAGACGGTTTTATTGTTTAAAGACAAAGAACCAAATATGTCGATTTTAGGTACACTCGTCTCATGATTAAAAAAATGATGAGTTACCGCTTTATTCCCATCAGACCATCCTCTATTTTTGTAGGTAATCAGAAATCCAAAGGATGGAAATGCAAAAAGGGGTGAAAGAGATCTCCTACAGCTGACGGATACTTTTGACTAACTAGGGATTTCAATTTTTCAGTAAAAAGCGCTTCATTCGCTTGAATCGTCGTTCTTAAGGCCCCAGCAAACCAGTAATATCCATACAAAAGTACAGAACCTCCCAGCTTTGACCGAAGCGTTTTCTCACTCCTTTCAAGCTGGCATACTCAATAAATGATGAAATTTGCCCAATAATTTGCCGTTTTTCTTCTTTTTTTTTTGAATAGAGTTTCTTTACTAAAAATTTTCTTTTTCAAGGAATTCATAATCTACATTTCTGCTATTTCTTTGTCAGCATTAGAATAGTGTTTAGTCAGCACATTTTCAGAAAAATCGGATTTTAAAAGCAGTTTATACAGCTGTGGTTGCCTTCTTGACACATCTTCAAAACCTGAACTGATCCTAAAAACGCCGACAATTGGAAATGTTATTTTTTTTGATATAATTTTTACTCAAAACCCAGTGAACGTTTGAGCAAATTTTTGTTCGGCTCTCTTTCCCCTTCCTGTACACTTCAGTAAATGTAATTCTTATGCAAAACGAAATAGAAGTCAAACACCAACGATTACTTAAAGATTCACAGTGGACAAGGCTGTTACTTACGCATGAGTATATTATCCTTTTAAACTGATGGCAGAATTATTTTTTAGTCATAAAGAGTGGTTCAGTTTGTTAGAAAAGCATAATGTTTTCACGGTGGATTCTTCGACGTTTGGGAGCAATACTGCATACAATAAGTTGTTACTTTGTTCCCAGTGACAGCTTCAGGTAAAAGTATTACACGTGCAATAAGTGTTATAGCTAGCGGATAGTTACTGCTTTTTTGCATTTAGTTAATCCAAACTTAGAGAAGTCTAAGGTATCAAGTTTCAACTGTTTTTCACAAAGCATAAAAAAGCGTTTGGACAGAAGATTGATTTTATTAAAGTTTGGTTTGATCGTTGAGCTCCAGCTATACTATTTGGCAGCTTTTTGAGCGGCAGAATTCATCTGCTTACTTCGCTTCATCGTAACACTTCTATGTTCCGCTATTTGTTCTCCTGTACTCTCTAGGGATGGGTCTTTCTTGAGCAGTTTTACAGGGATGTATTTATAAAAAAAACTGCATTATGAGTAAGCGATCATGAACTGTTGAACATAGAGTACTTATCACATTAAAGGTTCATTACTTTTAAAACCATTTGTTTAAGTAGAATTTAGATTTAACTTCCTACCTTCAAACTTTCCTCTCATCTTTAGAAAGGAAGAGGCGATGGTTATACAATCAATTTCAAAGTCGATAACCTCTTAACTTATTTCACCAGTCCTAGTTAACTTTTCAGGCATACGAGGAGAATATGGTGCAATAGTGCGATAATCACAAAAAATTCTTCAAAAAAAGAATGTTTTCTACTTCATTTTACTCGATTTTTTCAAACTTAGATCCCACTCTACCTGTGAAGAGATTGACCAAAGACTGAATGCAGAAAAGCTAATAGGCAAATGATGTATAATTTCTTTTGGAAGTCATTGACTACTGCAGTACTTCTGCCTTTCCATATCTGCTAATTATCAGAGAAATAGAAAAATTTTTTTTGCGAGGGAGAAGAGAGTAAATTACTGCAGTAACTTTTAGAAATATAGCAAAAACAAAGGGTTTTGGTGGATAACACTTGAACAATTAAAGCTGCTGAATTACACCACGGTGGGATGGCTCCGCAAACCATACGGTCCCCGCAAGCCATTAATTTTACTGACTGACTACAAAGCGCACATAATATTTACGCTTATAATTTTGAAGGCAAGTGAACAAACGCTAGCAATTTTCGCCTCCGTTCATCTCCGTTTCTTCTACTGAACAATATTCATGACTTTAGCAGATAATTATCGGAACAATTACATGCCACAAATTGAATGTAATAGCCCGCACTTCTAGTCATACATTAAGCAACAATTTTAAAACAGGAGGGTGCAAATTACACCAAAATATTGTACTGTATATAAAATATTTTACATTACTGAAGAAATTTCTTGCCCACCATAGGAGAAAATTTTAAAGACAACTAAACAACCGAAACTTATATAAGATAAATGACTGCAAAAAAAAATTTTTTCTTTTCTCTTCCAGTAAAATTTTCATACAACTCAAATCTCTTTGTAGACTTGTTGCACACCTTAAAAAATTTGACCTCATTAGAGGCTAAAAAGACATCGAATGAAGTTACTCATTTGGTTCCCAAATTTTTTTACTTTTCAGCTTGTTACCTTCACAATTAATCAGCCATGATCTTTAACTTTAATTTGCTGCCAGCCTTCTATCAAAACCACTGATTCTCTGAAATCTGCCAGCTGTATTAATCAAAACTTCATGCTTGGCCTTACCGTCCAACTACCCTTCGTTGGAATAACTATGAAACTGGAGCAAAAATTTTCCACGGGTTTGATTCGTAAATATTCCTACGATGTCCAAGTATTTTAAAATTCAGAAGTTAATTAGGGAGGAGTTCGTTCAAACCAAATGGCATTTTAATTCTAGTTGTATAATAGCCTAGAACTATGTGCAGAGATTAATCCTCATTCGCTGATAGCACAAATATTTTTAAAATCTGAAAACTGAAGACTTTTGCCAGTTGGTTAACTCACCAACTGTTAGTACCGTTGTTCTCTAAAAATGTTATAAGATCTATTATCTTTATATGCCTACAACAACCTCAGACCAGTCAAGACGAACTAATATGCTAAACGCTGCAGCATGGAAAACTGCAAATAACTTCCTGGTTAGAGTTTTCGGAACTTGAAGCGCTACAAATAGGATCATTAAGTACTCCAGCAAAAATTCAACACTAAAAACTTCACACCGCAACTGAAAATGGAGTACTCGCGCAAAAAGAAAAAAATACAAAAAAATTTTGCTGCTGATGAGCGCATTCATCTGTCATTTGATTTGCCACCTCTAAATCATAATCGCAGTTACCGAACCTACTGCAACTGACCGATGACCAAAACCAAACAGTTGCCATGCGAATCGCTAAACTCGCAGAAGGGCGGAGCAAAACATTTGTTTCCACTCCTGATCCAATCAGACCCGAAAATCAGCTGTTGAATGCGGGTTGTGACGGTTGCATTTTGCAATGCGGACGGTTCCACAAACGCGTCGCGGTTCCCATGTCCAACATGGGGACACCATTCTGAGGTCGTTGTGTTGCTGCAAGCGGTCGTTGCTCGTAGAACTGGTCGTGTTTAATGGCTGTTGGTATAGTCGAGGATGTGTAGGTCTCGGTTTTTTGGTCGTTAATGTTCTTCTTTAACGTTAGTCAACATTAAGATGTTCTTTAAAGTTGTTTATAAATCTCACTTTTATGTTGCACCCCAGCTCACCAATTGTAGGGTGGTGAGCCGAGAGATGGGTTGCAGTGAGTGGTGTGGTTGTTTTTGGTTGGGTGTAAATTTTTCCAACCACTTGGTTGTGCATCATGTGTTTTGTATGGGAAGCTGTGCGTTGGTGGAGGGAGCGCTCTTTTTGCGAGAAAGACAAAGGCAAGTGAACGATCACGGCACATACTACTGTTTCTTGAAAATGAGAGGTTCTGAAGTTGTTTAGTTTAGTTGGTCTGACACCCAGCAGCATCTGGCTTTTTTACTAGTTAAGGCTTAGGGTGCAGAAATCGTAGACTTTTTCTCTGCACGGAAGATGACAACTGCTCAGATCTTTAGCAGGAGTATGGAAGAGAGAGTGTTGGATGATGCGTCTGAGCCTCTTAGGAATGGTTTCTTTGGTTCTTACCTGTCATGTGTAAGACCTTTGTTGTTGGCACTTCTGTAGATTACAAGCTGTATGCAATTATGGGCTAAGGCGCTATTGCATATAAGATTGTTCACCTCCAATTGTACTTCTTTCTGGCCGTCAACCTTCAAGTTTTGAGTGTAGGATTTTCGAGGCTTGTAATTGATCTGTGATAGTTTCAAAATTGCCTATTCAGTTCTTGCTAACTTCCTAACGGTCTGGTGCTGAAATGTTGCTGTAACCCCTTCACCACTTCGTAGCGGCTCTCTCATTGTAGTAGTTAGTGCATGCACTTAACAATCGCAATCTTAGAATTCTAGAGGGTTTAAGCCCGCTTTCGTGCCACTTATCTAATTACATCCTCACATCTTGACCATCTTCTGGTGTGCCCAGTAATACTCTTCGTACCGCAGTGTTTTGTTTGTGCACGAAACATTCAGCAGATGACACTTAGTGAGTTTATGGTGTAATGGTGTCTAAGTCTACCGTTACCATTTTATAAACCACTCCAACTGCTTAGCTAGTCTTGAGGAAAAAATTTAAAGAAAAATGGAAAGTGGCAGTCACAGATCATAAGAGACACGATGCAGTTGAAACTAGGTTATAGAAAGGAGAAAGTAGTTAAAACAAATATATGGGACAAAGTGTGACATGGTGAAAAAAGTGAATTCTAGGATTGTCACAGTTACACCCGTACAGAAGATGAATTTGAACCTTCCAGGTTTGTAGGATGTCGGTTAAAAATTGCCCACACCGTCAGTTATCTGCCTGGAAGCAGTACTGTGAAACTCGAAAAGGATATAAACAGCTTCCTAGCATTAGGTCGTTAGGAAGTCAGTATGAGCTACATAGGAAAGCCTAGAATCATCTTTTTTTTTTGGATCAGGCGGTGACGAAAACTTCCGATACAAAAAATGAAGCCAAACTGACGATCAAAAAATGTTTAGCCATGGGTACGCTTGACTGCGATAGCAGTGCAGTTTTGTTAATAGCGGTACTTCTGCTGCGCGGAATTTGTGGTTTTGGCATTGGGCTGCGAAAACGCGGTCTTGTAAAAAAATAGGATAAAAACTTACAGAAGTTTTGCATGCAAGCAATTTCTCACGTAATCATATTACGGGATGAAATCCTAATGGTGTGTAAAATTATGACGTCATTTGTGAAAACTTTGCACTTGATGACTGTGCAGTTATCTGTAATACTCGTGGCCGCTTAGTCGAAGGGTCAAAGGTGACTGGTTCTTTTAATGACATCAGGTCTTTGAGCGGGTCACTTTTTAACCACTTCTTAATTTAATCATTAGCATAATACGTCAGTCTCAGAAATGCGTAGCAAATTGGAAGTTTTGAAGCAACGACGGTTTTCAAACTTAACAGCTAAGCATAATAACAAGTACAGACATTTTGTTCTTCCAGTCAAAATGCAATTTCGCCGAGATCTGGCTTTAAGCAGAAAAGTTTTAGTGAAAAAAATTTCTTTTTTTCTATCAAAGATTGATGCCGCAGGCCATTGCATTCCATGTTCCTAATTTATTAAGGTTTCGTTTATACGGAGACCTTTGTGCATACGAGCCAGGTCGATATTCAGGTAGCAAATTTTTTACTTCTCCGACAAGAGCTTGGCCACTTTTTGGATGATGATCATATTTTTGTTCACCGCAGTCTTTGGGTTTTTGAATACGGGTTGAGCGTGAGATTTTTGGTTGGTTTAATACATTTATTGAGATGAGTTGTTTTTGTGTGGGGCTTTCGGCGTTAACAGTCAGGTTTCGCTGAGGTAAAACTTTTACGGCAATGGTAGTGAAGGCGGTGCTTTGTAAGTCAAAGAGCCAAATTGCAGCCAAATGATAGGGTGAAGCAAGTATTTGGTGCCCATACCTCGTAGCACTTTTTTAAACCTCTAAGTGCCTTTGCCTGGCTCAGACCTCTTTAGGGGGATTGGCCGGCGGCAGGATATATTACTGAGTGGTTTGGAAGTAGTGTAGTGTCGAACCAAAATCAGTAATATGGCTGGCTCGAATTTGAAGCATTATTCGTGCCGTTGCAGAGGTATGTGCCTACTTGAAAGAATCTTTTTGTTAGTAACTCGCCGTCTTGTTTGTACTTGAGATTTGCGGCTCTGCTCTGTTAGTCTCTCCTAATTTCAACCTCGTTTATTTATTTTTTTCTTATTTCCTAGGGTTCAAGAGTGAAGTTTTGAGCATAATTCTTAAGCATCCTGTCCATCAGTGTCATGCGGCATAATGCGTGAAAACTACGTCTTTTTGTCGCGGCCTTTCTTCACGTAGAAATTTGTATGTGGAAGATCCAGATCTTTTACGTACAAATTTCCTGCTTCGAATTTTCTTGTTCTTTGCCTGTCTGCATAGCGTAACAGCGTTTACGTGATTGCTCGTGTACTTACAAGTCCAATTTGTGAAGTGACTAGAGGAATCGGAAATTGCTGCGGGACGCTTATCGAAA